GGCCGAGGTGAAACCTTCCTCTTTTCCGAGTAGGTACCCGAGGTAATCCTTGTACCCCATATTTTGGGTATCAATCCACCCTTTCCGGTCATAGTTTGACACACCCATGGTGGTCAATTTCAAGAGTTTGGCCAAGCGGCCTTCGGAAAGTATGATTTCTTTGCCTCGGACCTTAGTGGTGATTTCTTGCTTATCACCTCGTTTGATAGCTACCAAATATTGATAGAATTCCTTCACCAATTCGGGGTACGTATCCCCTTTAATTATGAGATATGTATCCAAAAGCCCTTGGTGATTAAGCATATCGACCAATTTCGGAGAGAATTGATCGGGTTCGAGGGCTTTACCTCCGATCACGGTGTAGTCGGCGTTGCTCCATTCCGGGGTGCGGACTCCGAGAGGCTTCTTTGGCATTGCGAAGTTTCCCTTGGTGGCGACGGTTTTCCGGTGAATTTCTGGCGAATTTCTGGCGAGACTCCAGCAATGAGTCCGGTGGTGGTGCGGTGTTTCTGTTGGGTTCGGACGGCGAGGGGGAGGGTGGCGCACTGTGGTGGCGGTCGGGCACGTTGTTGAAAGTTTCTTGGCAGCGGGTCGCGGCCGGGTGCGACGTGGGCGACCTCCGGGTGTCGACGGCGGTATCTCGGGGTGGTGTTGGCGGGTGGTCGTCGACGGTGTGGTGGTTGACGGGCGGCGACCGGCTGGTGGCGACGGCGTGCCGGCGGGTTCGTGGGGGTGTTGTCGATTTTGGGGTGGGGGGTGCGGAGGAAGAGAGAGAGTGAGGGTGAGAGAGAGGGGGTGTGAGGAAGAAGAAGGGTTTTTGATTTGGGGGTTTTGGGGTTTTTAGGAATTTGTGGGGGCTTAAAAAGGGAGTGTCCCCTTGAGGTTTCAAGAAACACTTATAGCCTAGTGGTTAAGGCTTTGATTTGTAAGTGAGAGGTCGAAGGTTTTATTCTCATTGGCAACACTAGTCTTCCTTGTTGTGTGTCCCTGGTCTTTTTCCTTCTTTTGTCTTCTAGTGGTGGGGAATTTGATTGGTCCTCCTTGTGGTTTGTTGTTGTCTAGTTTCCTCTACTTACGTTAAAATATTTTGATTTTATTTAAAAATGATTCCGAAGTGGCTAAGCAAAACAAGTAGTTTTACTACAAGGGTGGTTACAAGGGGTTTCTTGGTTTATCCTAAACAGAATTCACCTTCTTGGTTTTCCTCTGGTGGATTCGCGTGCTCCTCGTCTTCCAGGGTCATGTTTTCTTTGTTGAGGTTGTCCTCGTCCCCAAGTTCGGCTTGTGTGCGGCTCATGAAGAATACTTTTTCGGGGGCACCATGATTCCCTTGGTTGCTTGTGCCTCTGTGCTGGCCCATGTTCATGGGACGTGAGCTCGAGGGTTGTAAACACTGGAAGGCCTTGTGTCCATCTTTTCCACAGTTGAAGCACCGCAAGGGGTTCTCCATGCAGTCCCTGCATCTATGGCTTTGGTTGCATTTTGGGCAATGGAAGCCTCCGGTATTGGCTTCGTTGTTTCTTGGGGGTGGTCTTTGTCCAGTTGGGTTGTTTGGCCTTGTGTTGGTGTCAATTCTCGTCCTCTTCATTGGTGGCGCTCCTCCTCCTATGTTCCTTTTTCGAATCTGATCTTGAACCCCACGTTGTAGTAGTTGGATTTGGTAGAGGTTGGCAGCACTGGAGTAAGCCTAATTGAGGGTCCGGAGTCCGCTTACTACTAGTGCTTTCCGGGCTTCGAAGTTGAGGCCCGATACAAACCTTTCTATTTTAGTTGATTCTGTGGGGACTAACTCTGGTGCGAAGCGTGCCAGTTCAAGGAATCGTTTATGGTATTCTGTGATGGTAGTCGTTCCTTGTTTTAGGTGGAAGAACTCTTCGTGCATAGAGGCTTTTATGTGTGTTGGGTAGAATCGTTCTCGCAGGCGTGTTTTCAGATTTTTCCAGTTGAATCCTGGTTCTTGCCTGTAAGTGGGTCCTTCGTGGATCCACCAAAGGTCTGCTTTGTGTTCGAAGTAGAACGAGGCTATCTCTACACGACGCTCTTCTGGGCATTCTACCAATCCCAGGATTTTGTCGAAGGTCCGTATCCATTCCTTGAGGATGGCGGGATCTTCTTCTCCCGAGAAAGTGGGTGGCCTATGGTTCAAGACTTGTCGGGCGACTTCTGAGTTTGTGTTTGGTGGTGGTCGGTTGTTGCGGAGAGCTACGTCGCTTAATGTTTGGGCGACTTGGGTTAATTTTTGTAGGGTTTGAGCCAGGGGGTCTTGTGCAGCGGGTTCCGGGGTCCTTGATTGTCTTATGGTTGGTATCGTGGTGTTGATCTATAGAGTCAATGTTTATAGCAACGTTTGAGTTAGAGTGTCATACCCTTACCTTGGTGTGATAAGCGAAGGGGAGTTCTTTAAATTAATGAGGGATGAGGGGAAGGTTACGTGATGATGGGCAGGCTCACAATCTCACTGCGTGTCCTAATATTCCTAATTCCTGTGTTCTTAGACGCCTAAATCCTATCTTTACTGAACTCCTAGTGTTTTAAGCCTAATGTCCTAAGGTCTTGGTCTTAAGAGTCTTATCCAAGGGTCAAACTTAGGCTCTGATACCAACTTTAACACCCCGAAATTTTTCAACTTTTAAGACTTATATAATAAAGATAAATTCTCATTAAATCCCAAAAACATAACATAAGAGTATGGGGTGCTATGCCACACCTGAGCTAGAGAACTCAGGTGCACAGGCTAACTAACTAAAATCCTCAATAGTGTCAATACATAAGCATGGCACGCAGGCCGAAAAGGAAACTATCCACTCTACGCTCCAAATCTCTAGCGCGCTCCAGTGTCTACTCATCTGTGCCTGAAAGCCAAATATATCTGTTCAACGAGAGATGGTGGTAACCCACTCCAACGCGTTGAAATACATTATAGATAGATATATATATAGATATACGAAAATCATTTCGAAGCAGGAAGATATATACTTAAGAGACACTAGTTTTAAAACCAGAAATAGACTCAGCAAATAGGGATAAGCTCATCAATCAACATTAAATAGTTAAGTAGAGATAACGTCATAAGGAATATGCATCCAAGGTCACAGAACACTTTCCAAATTTCCAAATAACATCATCATTCAATCGTCATTCATAACACATAATCGTTGATGGCGCCACGGGACCAATCGCATGCCCCGAACATGAGGGTTAATGCCTATAGCATTAACATGGCCCCGCAGCACCCTATCTCAGTACCGCGGTATGAGGAGAGTTGATCGCAACCAACCCTTTGAGAACCGCTGACGAACTCAACGTCGGACCACGATCCTACACACCGCTAACGCACCCAGTCGGTGGACCGCAATCCCCTTTTCAAGGGGGGACTTACGACCCTACACACCGTCGATGGGTACGCCGGTGGACCATAGCAGATCAAGCCCGACACACCGCGGAGCTATACTCAGTCGGTGGGCGAAGATCCTCGGAGATTATGGCCCTGCAAACCGTCGTCCCATCACTCGGTGGGTCGCAGCCAACCGTAGCCCTACACACCGCCCCGATTACTCGGATCGGTGGACTACAGCCTTCCTCGGCATATTGGCCCTACACACCGTCCTGGCGCGTTCAGGTCCGGTGGGTCATAGCGCCGAGGCCCATGTGGACCGCAGCCCAAGAAGTGAATCACTGACCGCATCCAGGAGAATGAACCGCAACTCATAAGTAGCCAAACAGGGGACCGCAGCCCTATATAATATTTATATACCTGACCGATCGCAACCGGCCTGGTTAACAGTTGGTATGGTTCTCAACCCATCTAACTGCCCGTATAGCCAATTTGATCGGAACCAAATTTGGGAATCATGCATCACATAACACATTATAGCACATAATAGCACTGTAACACCCCGTGTTACGAATCCTAAAACCAACTGATTAATTAATTAATTAATAACCTAGGAGAAAGAATAAATTATAATGATCAATTAGGGAAAAAGGCCACCATAGCCATGGGCCCAAATATACAAACCCAACCCCTAACCCCAATAGGATTAAACTCTAAATAAACCCTTGGATCTATAAATAGGGAACTTAGGGAGCACCTAGAACCCCCACACGCCTAGACGCCCCACCACCCCAGGAGAGCTCCAAGAATTCCCTTAGAAGAAATCAAGAAAGCAAGAAAGCTTAAAGAAAGATCCTTCATAGCTAAGGAATTAATTAAGGCTAAGAGGTAACCCATGTCTCAACAAAACCTATTTTCATAGCTATGATTTCCCCTTAGGGTTTCCCCCATATGATTGTAAATAGCGAATTACTATGATTATTATTGATGTTGATTTAATGATTCCATGGGGAATCTTGATAATCTTGATATTGGGAGTTTCTTGATAATTATGATGTTCTTGATGATTAATTGGGATTTTGATGATTATGTGTTGTTCTTGATGATTATGATGTTCTTGATGATTAATTGGTATCCTTGATGATTATGTGTTGTTCCTACCGAATCTTGCAATTAGAAGACGAACCGTATTCTTGTTGATATAAAAGTGATTAGAACCCTAGGTTGTATCGTATGACCTTATTCTTGGATTATCGGATGGGAAATCGCATGTTTGGGTGTGGATTATGTTTAGGAAAGCATGATAGGCCATGTGCCGTTCGTATTTGATCCGTTAATTGTCTACTTGTTGTTGATAATTGCGTTGTAAAGTGTCTAAGCATTGTTTCGGGTTCCACATCGGTTCCCGGGGCGAAAAGTGATGAAAAGAGTCAGTGGGGGGTAGGTGGGGGTAGGGGACTGTAACACCCCAGATTTTCAAGACATTTTAAGCTTATATAATAAAGGTGATATCTCATTACATCCCAAAGTATATCATAAGTGTACGGGGTGCTATGCCACACCTGGGCTGGAGAACCCAGGTGCACAGGCGGTCTAACTAATATCTAATGAAACACAATGCATAATATGGCACGCAGGCCGAAAGGGAAACTACTCTACTTCTACGCTCCGGTTCTAGCGCGCTCCCGTGCTCTAGTCCTCTGTGCCTGAAAGCCAAATATATCTGTTCAGCGAGAGATGCTGGTAACCCACTCCAACGCGTTGAAATACAATACATATAGAGATATATATATATAGATATACGAAAACCATTATGAGCATGAAGATATATCCTACGAACTCTAGCTTTTAAACCGGGAATGACTCAACAGTTAAGGCTAGACGCCAGCAGTAGACATAGCAAGCATAAGCATTTCACAATAGATAAAGCAGTTACAACAAGGCATAAACGGTAATCATAATCCCATCATAAACAATCCCCAATATGAAACCCATAGTCACATCCCAAGGCATCATAGTCACAACCCGTCCATATCACACACATAATGCACATTGTTGGCGCCACGGGACCGATCGCATGCCCATACATGAGGGTCAACGCATATAGCTCTGACATAGCCCCGCAGCACCATGCCCCGTATCGCAACACGGGGAGGTCGATCGCAACCGACCGATGAACCACAGCTCATCATAATGTTTGATCGCAACCAAACAGTGGACCGCAGCCCAAGAGAGTGTCATCTGACCGCAGCCAGGATAAAGGACGAACCGCAGCTCGTATAGAAACGTTTGATCGCAACCAAACGGTGGACCGCAGCCCAAGAGAATGTCATCTGACCGCAGCCAGGAATACCAATCTGACCGCAGCCAGCTTCTGAACCGCAGCTCAGGATAACCAATCCGATCGCAACCGAATTGGGGTGGCACGCACACATAACACATAGCAAGCACATGCAACCCACGTTTACACATTGGGAAGGGGGTAAAGCATATAACAAACCTATGCGTGATCCATCACATACTAAGAGTAGTCCTAAGGGGTTCATACTTCCTTCACCTAGGTCAATAGGATACCAATTCATCTAGCATGCGATATAACAGACTTATAAACCTACGAACGGTACCCGAAACATCAACTAGACATAGGCACGACAAACGGGGTCCGTTGGGACACCACGGGGGTCGGGGAAACATCAAACGGGGAGGCCGAGGTCCCGGGTGGGGTGAGATTCCAGCGGGTAGCCGGTGGGTGGGGGTCCACCCGCCGGCTGCCCGCCGGCTGTCACTGTTACGGGCAGCGGGTGCCCGGCGGGCAGCTGCCCGCCCGCCGGCTGCCCGTTGCCGGAGCTGCCCGAGAATGCCGCGGGTAGGTGGCGGGTCCCCTACCCCCCACTGACTCTTTTCATCACTTTTCGCCCCGGGAACCGATGTGGAACCCGAAACCATGCTTAGACACTTTACAACGCAATTAACGACAACAAGTAGACAATTAACGGATCAAATACGGGAAACGAACGACACATGGCCTATCATGCTTTCCTAAACATAATCCACACCCAAACATGCGATTTCCCACCTGATAGTCCAAGAATAAGATCATACGATACAACCTAGGGTTCTAATCACTTTTATATCAACAAGAATACGGTTCGTCTTCTAATTGCAAGATTCGGTAGGAACAACACATAATCATCAAGGATACCAATTAATCATCAAGAACATCATAATCATCAAGAACAACACATAATCATCAAAATCCCAATTAATCATCAAGAACATCATAATTATCAAGAAACTCCCAATATCAAGATTATGAAGATTCCCCATGGAATCATTAAATCAACATTAATAATAATCATAGTAATTCGCCATTTACAATCATATGGGGGAAACCCTAAGGGGAAATCATAGCTATAAAAATAGGTTTTGTTGAGACATGGGTTACCTCTTAGCCTTAATTAGTTCCTTGGCTATGAAGGGTCTTTCTTTAAACTTTCTTGCTTTCTTCTAAGGGAATTCTTGGAGCTCTGTTGGGGAGGTGGGGCGTTTAAGCGTGTGGGAGGTTCTAGGTGTCTCCTAAGTCCCTTATTTATATATTTAGGAGTCCTAATTAGGAATTAATACTATAGGCTTGCTAATTCTATTTCTTTCGGAACTAAGGATTGGGTTTAGGGGTTGGGTATATATATATGAGGGCCCATGGACTATGGTGGGCCTTTTTCCCTAATTAATCATTATGATTTATTCTTTCTCTTGGGCTATTGATTAATTAATTAAATGGTTTTAGGGGCCGCAACACGGGGTGTTACACTCTCCCCCCCTTACAAGGGGCTTCGTCCCCGAAGCCCGGTGTTATAGTCCATCCTTTCACCCCTAGACACCTCGTAGCTCAGCCTCCTGATTAGGGTTGCGGCCTTACGTTTGTCTTGGCTTGGGGTAGGCTGAACTTTTGATGGTGTTGTGATAGAGAATTTTTCAGTTGTACCTCGGTTTCCTGCGCTGGAACTGGATGCACCGCGAGTGCCCAAGGCGGCCTCGATCGCTGCTACCCTTTGATCGAGTGCGCGTGTGGTGCGAATCAAGGATGAGAACCCTTCTTCCATGATTTGATTCTGCCGGTCGAGCTGGGCGAGTATGCGTTCGTTGACCGAACCCTCGCTTTGTCCCCTCGGGTTCCCTCCTGGCTGTGGGTGCACTGACGGGTTAGGCCCGTCTTCCTCTTCTTGTCCCTCATTTCCCTCCGTACCTCCGCAATCTTGCATGGCTCGCTTGAGCTTTTTGTTGGAGATGTCCAATCGATCAACCAATTCCCTACGTTCCTCTTCGGGTTTTTGGCAAATTTCTTCGAGGGTGAGATAATATCCTCCCTCGGTGTAGTAGATGTCGTTGCGGCGGAGGTTTTGGGCATTGAAAACCATGCCATTGGCGGTTTTGACCTCGGTGTGACTTAGGTCTACCCCCTTTTTCTCCATGATCCAACTTAGGATCATCCCGTAAGGTAGGCTAAGCCGGTTGTTTGTTTTGCAGAACTCTATGTGCTTTAGCATGAGTGCCGGCAGGTTGAACTTGATTTTATGTTTTAGGAGATACGCAAAGGTGCATTCCAAGCTTCCCACATCCTTGCTCTTGTTATTGGTGGGCAAGAGGCTATCGGTTACAATCATAACCAATATCTTTTGCTCCGCCGATAGCCATTTCCGGTTTGGTCGGGTGGCCGAGGTGAACCCATCCTCTTTCCCGAGTAAGTACCCGAGATAGTCCTTGTATCCCGTAGTTTGGGTGCCAATCCACCCCTTCCGGTCGTAGTCGGACACACCCGTGGTGGTCAATTTCAAGAGCTTGGCCAAACGGCCTTCGGAAAGCACAATTTCCTTGCCGCGGACTTTGGTGGTGATTTCTACCTTGTCACCCCGTTTGGTGGCTACAAGGTGTTGATAGAACTCCTTCACCAATTCGGGGTACGTATCCCCTTTGATGGTGAGATACGTATCTAAAAGTCCTTGGTGTTTAAGCATATCAACCAATTCCGGAGAGAATTGGTCGGGTTCAAGTGCTTTACCTCCGATCACGGTGTAATCGGCATTGTTCCACTCCGGGGTGCGGATTCCGAGAGGTTTCTTTGGCATCGCGAAAGGTGGTACTTTTCCGGTGGATTTTCCGGCGCGTCTCCGGCGAGGTGGGCAGCGCTCCGGCGTGTTTTTCCGGCGGGCGTTGAGGCGGCGGCGAGGTGGGGTTCACGACGAGGGGGAGGTGGCGTGGGAGTGGCGTTCGGGTGGAGGCGGCAGCGGGTCTCGGCTGGGCGAACTCCGGGCGGTTGGCGGGTGGTCTCCGGCGGCTCGGTCTGGACGGCGGCGAGGCGAGCGGCTCTGCCGGGGTGCGTCCGGGCGGTGGCGGCGTCGGTGGGAGATGGTGGCTGTGGTGGGGCAGTGGGGTATGCGAGAGGGAGGAGGAGAGGGTGTGGGGAGAGGGAGAGAGAGAAGAAGAAGAAGAAGAAGAAGAAGAAGTAGGTAGAAGAAGGGTTTTTGATTTGGGGGTTTTGTGGGTTTTAAGGATTTAGAGGGGTTTAACAAAGGAGTGTCCCCTTAAGGTTTCAAGAAACACTCATGGCTTAGTGGTTGGGACTTGGACTTGTAAATGTGAGGTCTAGAGTTTAATTCCTAATGGTGACATTGGGCATTTCTTGGTGGTGTGGTCCTCCTTGTCTTTTCCTTGTTTCGTCTTTTAGCGAGGAAGGGTTGGGTGGATGGCATAACTTGTGTTTTACTCTTGAACGAAAAGGAATCTTTATTCATAATACTTTCTAAGTAGCTAGCTAAGTAGACATAATGCTCCCGAAGTAATTAAACTAAATAACTGGCCTATACGATACAGGGGGCGGTTACAAGGGGGTGATGGCTTATCCTAGACAGAATTCACTTTCGGGGTTTTCTTCGGCGGGGTCCGTATGGTCCTCGTCTTCAGGGATTGGGTTTTCCCCTTCTAGTCCTTCTTCGTTTCCGAGGTCGGCTTGCGTTCGGCTCATGACGAATACTTTTCCGGGAGCGCCGTAGCCCCCTTGGTGACCGGTACCCCCGTGTTGGCCTGTGGTGGTGGGACGCGGTCCTTGGGGCCGAGTGCATTGGAAGGCCTTGTGTCCTTCCTCCCCGCAGTTGAAGCATCGCCATGGGTTGCCTGCGCAGTCCTTGCCTCTGTGACTTTTGTTGCATCTCGGGCAAGGAAAGTTTCTTGGGTTCGCTTCGTTGCTTCCCGGGGGCGGTCTTGGGTTAGTCGGGTTGTTTAATCTCGTGCCGATGTCGTTCCTTGTTCTTTTCGCCGGTGGTGCCCCACTTCCGGTGTTCCTTCTTCGCATTTGTTCCTGGGCTCCGCGTTGAAGTAGTTGGATCCGATAGAGGTTCGCGGCACTGACGTAAGCCTCGTTGAGGGTCCGGGGTCTACTTACTACTAGCGCCTTCCGGGCTTCGAAGTTGAGGCCCGATACGAATCTTTCTACCTTGGTCACCTCGGTGGGGACAAGTTCGGGTGCGAAGCGTGCCAGTTCGAGGAATCGTTTATGGTACTCCACGACGGTGGCTGTCCCTTGCTTTAGATGAAGGAACTCTTCATACATGGATGCTTTTATGTGGGTTGGGTAGAACCGTTCGCGTAATTGTGCCTTGAGGCTTTCCCAGTTGAACCCTGGTTCTTGTCGATGGGTGGGTCCTTCGTG